GTCACCAATACAGACCACGGCAGAGACACGAGACAGAAGAGCCCTGGTGGTGTCTGATATCTTGGACTCTGCTGTCCTCAGGTCCCAGCTGCATCTCTGGCCTTTTTGCAGATACACTGCGGGCCTCAGTATTTCTTCCAAAATAGTCTCATTTGTGCCTGAACTAGTTTCAGTTACATTTCTATTTCTTAAAACTAAACCCGTTGCCACTGAGCCGATTCTGACTCATAGCGACCCTACAGGACAGAGCTGAAGTGCCCCATAGGGTTTCCAAGGAATGGCTGGTAGATTCGAACTGCCGAACTTTTGGTTAGCAGCCGAGCTCTTAATCACTGTGCCACCAGGGCTCCAAACTACCAAAACAGAAGGATTAAAGGCACTCTGTAATTATTGTTAATTTTCTAACAAAACCAGTAACAGTACTGTAAGGAGCCCTGGTGGCACAGTGGTTAAGCGCTCGGCTGCTAACTGAAAGGTCGGCAGTTCGAACCCACCAGTGGCTCCACGGGAGTGCAATGCCATGGTGTCTGCAATTTTCAAATGATTCAAAACCAACAAAAATATGAAGTAAATATGGCAAAAATGTTAAGGGTTATTTAGGTAAAGGGTATATTCATTATCTGTTCTTTCAACTTTTTTGTATGTATAAAACCTTTCATTAAAAAATTCTTTTTTGAGAGGACACCCTGAAGGTACGTGTAACATACCCAGAAAGATCACAGCGATTTCAGGAAATGTTAAGTAGTTCCTCACAGCGGGGGTTTAGGATGGGTGGGCACAGAAGGAAGGTAAGGGACAGATTTTACGAGAGGCCTGCCACACAATGTGAGAAATTCTAGATTTACCCTGAAGGTATCAGGAAATCATCAAAGGATTCTCGGTGGGTGGGGAGGGAAAATGACATGATTAGATTTTGATATTAAAAACTTCTCTGTTGGTAGCATGGATCATAAACTGGAAAATGGCAGGAATACAGTTAATAGTCTACATTAAAAAATGAGGAGGTTCTGAATGAAGGGGCGGGGTAAGCATGAGCATCAATGAGGAGGCAGGAAAGGCTGACAGGGTTCTGGTCCTGGATCCGGTGGAGGAAGACGGGGAGTGTTCTGAGGGAAGGGGAAGAATCCAGGAAGCCTAAGGATTCTGGCTGCAGTTGACTGTGTGGTACCATTCACCAAGGCTGGAAATACAGGCACGAGACAAGGACATGTTGAGCTTGAGTTGTTGGAGACATGAGGTGAGTGATCACAGTGGCAACAAAGACTGGGAAATCACAGGCACATGCCAAAGGCACAGAAGAGATCACCCAGTATGAAAATGTACAGCTGGCTGAAAAGGGTTGAGGACTGAGAATCACCCACAGTTAGGGGGTAGGCAGATGAACAGAAGCACTTGAAAGAGACTCAAAAAACCAGCCTCAAACGCAGGAGAAAAATATGAAGAGTGGTTCTCAAGATAGAGGCCGGAAAGATTTGAGAGGGAGGAAGAGGTCAGTGTGCTATGTACTCTACAAGAGATCAAGAAAGACAAGAGGAATAAAAAGTGTCAACCTAACAAAAAGACCTCAAGTAGGGCAGTTCCAGGGTTGATTAATTTGGCAGTTGGACAATATTATCAAAGACTCAGGTTCTTCCCATTTTTCTACTCTGCTACACAAATTGTGCTGGCTTTGTCCTCGGACTAGCATCCCCCACTGACTGCAAGATGGCGGCCACAGTAACCAATGCATCACACACAGACGAGACAACATCCAGTATAGAAGAGGGCTGTTTCTTCTTGTGTCTGCCCTCATATTATCGGCTACAGCTGGGTCACACTTAACCCTGCACTGATCACAAACAAGAAGACTGGGATTATTACAAGTGATGTTGATTAATCACGATTTACTGCTAAGCTGGGAAAACAGTCATTTTCCCTAAGGACCAGATAACAAAAAAAGCCCAGGGGTTGTATTAACAAAACAGAAGGGGGTTGTGGTAGAGATATGGAATAGGTAACTTACAGGCATGAAGAAGGGTCATTCTGTTCTAATCTGATTTTTTCACTAAATAAACCAAAAACCAAATCCGTTGCTGTCGAAGTCAATTCTGGTTCCTAGCGACCCTACAGGACAGAGTAGAAATGTCCCATAGGGTTTCCAAGGCTGTAAATCTTCATGGAAGCAGATTGCCACATCTTTCGTCCTCGGGGCAGCTGGTGGGTTCAAACCGCCAGCCTTTCAGTTAGCAGCCAAGTGTTCAACCCCTGTGTCACCAGGGCGCCTTCTTCACTGAATACACTCATTTAAAAGAACAAGGATTTCTGGAGTCAGAAAAGTAGTCAATGCAGGACATGATTTCAATCAACTAACAAGTTTTATGTTTCTGAGAGTGAAAACAAGAAGATACATCTAAAACGCCTCTGATTTCCTTTAGCAATCAGTTACGTCCTGAATCCATTAACAATGGGCCGTCTGCAGTGGAAATGTACAACCTCATTTTCTTTGTCCTAAAATTAACTTTAAGCTTCATGAAAAGAACCTTAACTCTAAAATTGCTAAGAAAATTCTTTCAACCACATTTTTGCTGTTTAGAGCCTTTTTTGTTTACATCCATGTGATGGCTCTGGGCTGAACTAAAGCTCCCAGAATTCTTTCTAGTATGTTTCAGGTTAGGGTGGGCCCCAAGTGATATTCTCTTGGGAGAGTCGATGATGGAAAGGAGGCAGCAGCAATTTTGTAGCATACACACCTTCTCTTGGTTATTCAATCAAACACTAATCCAGGTGTTGCCGGGAAGAGATACTGCAGATGTAATTAAAGTCCCTAATCAGTTGACTATAAGTTAATCAAAGGGGAGATTATTCTAAGCGGGCTTGTCTTAATCAGCCAGAAGCCCTCCTAACAGCAGCTGGATCTACAATTGCTCTCCCTTCCCCAGAATCTTCCCTGAATGCCTGCTTGTGGACAGCAAACGTCAGCCCGTGTCCTCGGGGTTCCAGCCTCTGCGTGAACATCACTTTCTGACGCCCTGCCCCTGTAGACCTTGGGCTTGCCAAACAGCCGCCATGATTACACAAGCCAATATCCCATAACAAATACACACACACGTGCACGCGTACACACACACACACACAGTCTCCTACTGGTTCTACTTAACCAGCCCCCACGATTATATAAGCCAGTTTCTCATAACTGACACGAATGCGCACACAGTCTCCTACTGGTTCTACACGTGTAGTCACATCTGCTCCCAACCCTTACTTCTACAGATCCACTTCTATGTTTGCACTTGAAAAAGACTGTTAGTGATATATTATTAATGTGACAGAATTAAGAACTCTACTTTATGTTCCTTGAAGTCTCAACATTGTACCAAAACTTTTTTTATATGACAGAAGTAATAGTGATTCATTTCCTATCTGAATATTACAGTATTTAAAACATAACACCGCACAGGTCAATTTTACTTAAATAATGCCTATTCGCAAATGATGATTCCATCTAGATGTGCACAGAGCCAGGCAAACTTCTCTCTGCATTCTCATCCCCAAAAGTCCATGATTTTTGTTAAAAACAGAATCTCCTAAAGAGACTGAGTTGTTATCAATACCTCTTAATTACTGTGCTAATAACCCTGCCGTGGTTCTGCAGAAAAGTATAACTGATATACTTGATTACTCTAGGTTTGAGATTATGAATAAATTATTTAAACTTAATGTGTTTATTATAGTAAAACACCGTTCACTACGACTTTGACGGCGTTCAAGAAAACCACAATTTCCATCTGTTCAATCAGAATAGATGCAAAAATATTGATGTAATTAAAATCTGATAAAATTGCAGCGAAACAAGTGCAACCATAGCAGTGGGATAAACACTGTGAAAATGTGTATCAACACCCTAAAAACTGGTCAGACCTCTGACTCAGTAATTTTACTCCTGGAAATCTAGCCTAAGGAAATAGTCCAATCAATCAGTCAGTCAGTCCGTCTGTCTGTCAATCAAATAAAAAACAAAACAAACCTCGATCTTCATGCATAGTCATTCATTACAGTATTAGCATAAAAAAGGAAAGAAATAATCTATATGGCCAAGAATACGGTAATAACTAACTAAAAACACAGGGATGCTATGCAACACATGATTCTGTTTAGGAAAAGTCCGTAACATGGAAAATGTAACTGTGCTATGTTAGGTGGGAAAAAAGTAAGATACAAAATCATATAAACAGCCTGATCACATCTGGGTTAAAAACAGACCACCAAATACACAGATATTTAACACAAACAAACCAGCAACCCTTCAGTGTTTTCCTATTGGGAATTCTCATCAACGGTGCTGTACATACAGGGGGTGCCCGCCCCCTTTCCTTTTATTTTCTTCTGCTAACCTCCCAGAGAGGCCCTGCTCTGTTAGTTACATCATGTAAGATGCTCTTCTCATCCACCCGCTAAACTGGGTTGAAGCCAAAGACTGGTTCTCCCGACTGTACCTGGGATGTGAGAAACGTGTGAATGTGAGGCAGAAAACGGGGCAGTGTGGTCTGAGGGCGCAGGTCTGTGGCTGAACCATGTCTTTTCTGTAGGATTTGCTTCTGTTTGCTCTTCTGGGTTGGTGATAATACCATTTATTTGGAGAGCCATAAAAGCTTGTACTTTAAAAAGCATATGCATCAAGCTATATATCCTTCTATATCCACAAGCAATTTTTTAAATAATAAAAATGGAAACAAAGTGCTAATCAGAAAAGGTAACTAAACTGTAAGTTTTACGCTGCTTCTAAAAATAAACTCTAGACCAGAGACTGCAATAGTATGCATTTTTCAAATATTAAAAACTAATATATTACACTCATAAAAGATACTTCCCATTTTTGAACTGCATTCAATGTTAAGTTGCTTTTCTGTTGAATTTAACATGTAACTATCATGTAGATGACACAGGTGAAAGGGAAGATAAATGCATACAAAACATATATAACAGTTTTATGGGAAAATACAGTGAAAAAAAATTAAACTTACTGTTCATGGAAATCCAGCATTGGTGGCTCAAATCGTATAGGTCTGCAACTACCCCGGTACAGAGATATACTGCAAGTAAAAAGAAAACAGCATAAGAAGCAAGTCTTCAAAATATATATTTCTCCAAGCCTGGTCAGATACTCAACTCCTGTCATGAAAAGTATCTTTAAGAAAAGTTAGGTTTAATGTTCTACTGGGAACGTGGATTAATTTTCTTTATGTGTGGAAACCAATGAATGCTGCCTGTTAGAAGAAATGAAAAGAAAAAGTGGGAGTGATTTTTTTCCTATTCAAGGACGTGTGAAAACAGAAAATGCTCAGGTGAACTGAATGTTGAAATATATTTGGTTGATATAATTGATAACAATATATTTTAGTAAGTTCTCTTGGTATTTTTTGACTTGCGTACTTTCTGATGGATAATAAGCAGCTAATACAAGCACATGCTTGGCAGACTAGAGAGAGAGACAAGATCAGGATCACAGCACAACTAGAGTGGCAAAGAACTAAACAAAAAAATAACTCGGGGATAAGAGATTTCCAAGAACTGAAATATCGATGTAATCGGAGAGTTTGGAATGCACTGGTCCATGAGGTCTTGGACTAAATATCTGAGCATGATTTCTAACTATCCCGTCTGTTATGAAACTCTCACTAAAACAAATTTCTGAATATCAAACCTCCTAAAAGTCAGAGATTCAGCCAGGCAACTGAAATTTCAAATACAGCAGATTTTGGTATTTTTAAGAAGTGATGTTAGAGCAAAACCCATTTTGCAAGACTACGTCATTTCCACTTCCACTCTAGTTCACAAGAACATATGCTTATGCATGATACAGTAATTTCACCCAGGAGACATTAGAAACGGGCAAGGACTTTTAGAATATATACATTTAGCTTTCATTCAATCGTATAAAGATTAAATAGTCAGAGTACTGTAATAATCGAGCTTGAAGTACAAATGTGTTCTTAGCCCTACCAGTTAAGAGTATTCTTCTGTGCTGATTGATAGTTCCTTTACATATGCGAAACAGAAAACATGACACATACTGTCATGGATTGAACTGTGTCCCCTAAAAATGTGTGCCAACTTGGCTAGGCCATGATGCCCAGGACTGTGTGACTGTCCACCATTTTGTCATCTGATGTGATTTTCCTGTGTGTTGTAAATGCTACTTCTATGATGTTAATGAGGCAGGATTAGCGGCAGTTATGATAATGAGGCAGGACTCAATCTACAAGATTAGGCTGTGTCTTAAGTCACCTCTTTTGAGATATAAAAGAGAGAAGCAAGTAGACAGACATCGGGATCTCCTACCACCAAGAAACAAGAGCCAGGAGAATAGCGTGTCCTTTGGACTGGGGTCCCTGTGCTGAGAAGCTCCTCGACCAGGGAAGACTGATGACAAGGACCTTCCCCAGAGACAGAGCGAGAGAAAGCCTCCCCCTGGAGCTGATGTCCTGGATTTGGATTTCTAGCTTCCTAGACGTGAGAGAATAAACTTGTGTTTGTTAAAGCCATTCACTTGGTATTTCTGTTATAGCAGCTCTAGATGACTAAGAAACACACACACACAGAGCAAACACCAGACATCAGACTATACTTCACTAAATCACGAAATTAGAGACACTGGGTCAAAGAAGGAACAATTCCTCACAACACAGGTGCCCCATATGTAGCAAAAGGTACAGAATCTTAAACACAATATAACAAGGACACTCTCTGGCTCCTTTAAAATGAGATGTTGTTCAGCTCATCAGTTGTAATAGCGCAAAACTCAAATTTATATCAAATCAAGGAAAGATAAAATAGTATGCATAAAACAAATGCTCGTAAGTCATGATTCATATATAAAAACATGGATCGTGTTGGATGCTGCAGATACAAAGGGGATTAAGATATAGTTTTTTTTTTTTTCTCTCAGAACTGGGTGTCTGTTTCACAAGTTGTGAATGGAACTGTCTAAAGTAGCCAGACAGGGCGAACAAAGCACACCGTATTCATTCAACACAACTGTACTGAATGAGTACCATGTGCTGGTGGCTGGGGCTCCAGTGGAAGCAAAGCAAAGTGCCTGCTCTGTGGCACTAACAGCCCAGGAGGGGAGACAAGCATGGAACATACCAGGTGATGATGAGTGCTACAAAGACCAATCAGGTGATGATGAGTGCTACAAAGACCAATCAGGTGATGA